TGATGTAAAAATTCTCCTGACCAACTTTGGCTTTCTGTTCCTTCATCCCTTTTTTCCCACATTACTAACTAATCAGACAAGATATAGATGATATCCAGGTAGGTGGAACAGATAGGCATTTGAAGGAAAAATATCTTTCAACAGCCTCTATGCACAGGAGATGGCAAGATCAATGGCATGGGTCACCTTAACCACTTGCCCTCCAGAGGATTTACCCCCCTTCCTCACCTGGACATTTTTTGCGATACGGCGCTGCGTTATTTTAATTGACAATAGCGTGGTCATGCAATGCTACACCCAAATGAAATTTACGTCCTTTTTTCCTATGAATGGAGCTTTCTTTCAGTGGTATTTGACCACCTGTGCATTTGTAATTTTTTCCACTATAAATAAAAAAATATAAAATAATGAATCCTCTTTAGTCTCAGTGAGTCTTCCCAAATATTTCTTCAGTGTAATTATCCCAAAGTATGATTCATTTCTACCGTATACCTCCAAAAAATGAAATAAAAACTATATAGTGTATTATCCTCAATTAATCAATGATCAAAACCATATATACATAAATAACTATTATGTGAAAAAAAATGTGAAATAGTGAAGCACTCCGTGTACACTTCTATATGAACACTTCTATGTGGCTAGAGCTAATTACTCTTACTTAAATACGTGATCAAAAGGCCTTCTAAGAGAATAATCCAATAAGCCAGCAATCTTCAAGATTATCCCACAAACGCTATACATAGTAAAAATTAGATCCAGGCTTTAATGAATAGTCTTAAATTAACCACAAGCCTAACCGGGTACTTATACCCGGTAGGCTTGTGCACCCTACGACCCCTCCACTCGCTGATCCACCGGACCCACTGAAGACTCCTCGGACGCCAGCATACTGCACTCACAGATTGCAGCTACAGGAGGACTCTAATGGACTTCACGGTGATACAGACTCTCCACATCACCTCGCCCTGACCCGTATCCCTTCACCTCCCCCGACCCGAACAGCACTGCACTCACCCCAGCATGCCACCTGCACTTCTCCTCCTCGTCTTCCTCTCCTCCATCCCAAAAATCGCCTCCCTCTACCCGCCCACCCCCCCAAAACAGCTCTACATTGCCCCTTCACTCCTGCCCTCTCCCACTACGGCACTCACCACCTCCTCCTGGTACTCCACTCCCCGGTCGACCCACGTGCCACCACTACCAGACCCACACGCTCCTACACCTCCCATTCCCATGCCACCCTCCTCACCCTTCTCCTTCTCCTATCCGCTGGGGACATCTCCCCGAACCCTGGCCCCTCACCACCTCTCCCCCCTCCAGGGATCCCCCCCTGCCCCCGCCAGCCGCCGCAACCCCCTCAACCTCATACCTGTGCACCTCCTCCCCGCATCCCCCCCCCCTCTCTCGGTTGCACTTCTGAACGCCCGTTCGGTTTGCAACAAACTAACTGCCATCCATGACCTCTTTATCTCCCGCTCCCTCAATCTCCTAGCCATCACCGAAAACCTGGATACAGGCCACTGACACTACCTCCCCTGCGGCACTCTCCCATGGAGGTCTCATCTGGTCCCACTCACCAAGACTGAGCGGTCACAAAGGTGGTGGTGTCGGCCTGCTCTTATCACCGCTGAGCACCTTCCAGGTCCTCCCTAACCCCCCCCTCCCTAACCTTTTCCTCCTTCGAAGCTCACTGCATCCGGCTCTTCTCACCCACCCCCTAAGGATCGCAGTGATCTACAGGCCCCCTGGATCCATAGCCCGCTTCCTGGATAACTTCGCCGCCTGGCTTCCCTTCTTCCTCTCCTCTGAGCTACCGACCATCATCCTCGGGACTTCAACATCCCCATCAATGACAACAACCCCGACTACTTCCCAACTCCTCCACCTAACCTCCTCCTTCGCGCTCACACAACACACCCAATCCTCCACCCACATCAATGGGAACACCCTGGACCTCGTCTTCTCCCACCTCTGTACCCTCAACCAGTTCTCTAACACACCCTTCCCTCTCTCCGACCACCCACCTCCTCACGTTCTCCACCTCCCCTTCCCCCAAACCCCCCCCCAGTGCGCCAAACCATCACCAGCCGCAACCTCCGCAACCTGCACCCAGCCCCCCTCCACTCGGCTGCCGACCGCCTACACGACAGCATCCTTCCACTGTCATGTCCTGACCTAGCCACCTCCACGTACAACGACTCACTATCAGCTACACTAACTCTCTGGCACCCCTAACCACACGCTACATCAAACCCAGACCGCTCCAACCATGGCAGAACGACCACACTAAATGCCTCAAACGTCGCAGTCGTGCGCTGGAGAGACTATGGCGCAAAACCAGGTCCCCTCATACATTCTCCCTCTACAAATCTGCCTTCCTCACCTACACCTCCTCCCTCCACGCCGCCAAGCAGGCCTACTTTGTTAACCTGATTAACACCCTCTCCACCTGCCCTCGCCGACTCTTCTCCTCCACCTTCAACTCCCTGCTCTCTCCCCCCCTTCCTCCACTCAGTACCTCACTTACCGCCCACGAGATTGCCACTCATCTCCACAGCAAGATTGACGCAATCCGCAAGGACATAGTCTACTTGCAATCTACCTCCCCATCTAGCCCCCCCCTTCTATCACCCCCTCATCTCTCCCCTCCTCTGACCTCGCAACGGCACTGCCCCCCACACACCCAAGGCCCTGCCTACCATAACCCCAACCCATCACTGCACTCCTTCAGCCCTACTACCACTGAGGAAGTCAGCAGAGTCTTCTCAGAAGCCCGTCTCACTACCTGCCCCCTGGACCCATCCCCTCTCAACTCCTCCCCAAGCCACCCCCCTCTTCCCTCATCCGCTCCCTTACCCACATTTTTAATCTCTCCCTCTCTACTGGCGTATTCCCCCCCCCTAAAACATGCGCACATCACCCCATACTCAAAAAGCCCTCCCTGGACCCCACTGACCTCAACAACCTCAGACCAATTTCCCTGCTGCCACTCACTTCCAAGCTCCTTGAGCGCTTGGTCTTCGATCGCCTAAGCTCCCACCTAGATGACAACAACCTCCTTGACCCACTACAGTCCGGCTTCCGTCCCCTACACTCCACCGAAACTGCCCTCCTCAAAATCACCAACGATCTACTAACCGCCAAAGCCAAAGGCGACTACTCTGTCCTCCTCCTCCTAGACCTCTCTGCGGCCTTTGACACAGTCGACCACCCCCTCCTCCTTAATAAACTACTCTCCCTTGGCATCAGAGACACCGCTCTCTCCTGGTTCTCGTCCTATCTATCCAACGCTCCTTCAGTGTCACCTACAATGGTGCCACCTCCCCTTCTCTCCCCCTCTCTGTTGGGTCCCCCAGGGCTCTGTCCTTGGACCCCTTCTCTTCTCCATCTACACCTCCTCCTTGGCAAACTCATACACTCCCACGGCTTCAATTACCACCTCTATGCTGATGATACTCAAATCTACCTATCCACCCCTCACCTCACCCCCTCATTCTCCGCCCGCATCACTCACCTCCTAAACGACATCTCTGACTGGATGTCGCTCAAATTTCCTCAAACTCAACCTCTCCAAAACCGAGCTTCTCATCTTCCCCCCCAGCCCGCGCCCCCCCCCCCATCCTTTCCATCACTACCAACAACACCACCATCAATCCCGCCCAGCAAGCCAAGGTCCTTGGCGTCACTCTGGACTCAAACCTTTCCTTTCAACCTCATATCAAATCCCTCACAAACACATGCAGGCTCCACCTCCGGAACATCGCCAGGATACGTTCCTTCCTTACCACAGACACCACTAAAACTACTAGTACACTCCCTGATTATCTCACGCCTGGACTACTGCAACTCCCTCCTCACCGGCCTACCCCAGTGCAGGCTCTCCCCGCTTCAGACCATCCTGAACTCAGCGGCCAGACTCATCCACCTCACCAGCCGCTCCACCTCTGCCACCCCCCTCTGCCTCTCCCTCCACTGGCTCCCCATTGCCCAACGCATTAAATTCAAATTGCTCACCCTGACCTATAAGGCCATCCACAACACTGCCCCTAACTACCTCACCGATCTGATTCCCAAGTACCACCCTACCCGTACCCTTCGCTCTTCACAGGACCTTCTTCTATCTTGCTCCCTGGTCTCCTCCTCCCACGCACGACTGCAAGACTTCTCCAGGTCCTCCCCCATCCTCTGGAACTCACTACCCCATCCATCAGACTGTCACCGTCCCTCCTCACCTTCAGGCGCTCCCTGAAAACCCACCTCTTCAGGGAAGCCTACCCACCCTCACCTAACAGCCGCTGGCCCTTCCCTCCTCCTACCACTCCATCCCCCACAGCCGTTTCCTCCTGTGCCTCTACCCCCCCCTCCTAGATTGTAAGCTCGAAAGAGTAGGGCCCTCTAACCCCTTGTGTACTGTTTGATGTTACTGTTCTGTTTCATGTATTGTCCCCCCCTATTGTACAGCGCTGAGCAAACCCTTTGGCGCTATATAAACTCGATAAATAAATAAATAAATAAATACCCCCTTCCTGCCCAGGCCAATTTCCAGCTTTCAGCACTGTTGCACTTTGACTGACAATTGCGCAGTCATGCAACACTGTACCCATATGAAATTTTTATCATTTTTTGTAACACATAGAGCTTTATTTTGGTGGTATTTAATCACCTCTGGGTTTTTGATTTTTTCTTAAACAAACCGAAAACCACTGAAAATTTTGAAAAAAAAAAAAGTTTTTTCTTAGTTTTTGTTAGAAAATGTTGTAAATAAGTGATTTTTCTCCTTCACTGATGTGCGCTAATGAGGCTGCAGTGATGAGCACTGATAGGCTGCACTGATGGACACTGATAGGTGGCACTGATGGGCACTGATGAGGAGGCACTGGTAGGTGGCACTGATGGGCATTGACAGGCATCACTGATGGGCACGGAAAGGCAGCACTGATATATGGCACTGATAGGCGGCACTGACTGGCACTGTTAGGTGGCACTGACTGGCACTGTTAGGCAGCACTGACGGGCACTGATAGGCGGCACTGACTGGCACTGATAGGTGGCACTGATTGGCAGCACTGATAGGTGGCACTGATTGGCATTGATAGGTGACACGGACTGGCACTGAAAGGCAGCTCAGATTGGCACTGATACTTGGCATTGATGTGCACTGGTAGGCATAGATATGTGGCATTGATGTGGCACTGATGGGTACTGGCACGTGGCACTGATGAGCACTGACAACTGGCACTGATGGACACTGACAGGTGGCACTGCTGGGGCTTCACTGATCATCAGGGCACACTGATCATCAGTGCTCTGATGATCAGTGTACATGTCTCCTCCGCGCAATGCTGATTACCGGCTCTCCTCTCCTCTTGAGCTGTCAGCATGACAGCTCGAGAGGAGGGAAATTCCGATAACCGGCATTTCCCTGTTTACATGTGATCAGCTGTGATTGGACACAGCTGATCACATGACCGAGCCGACATCTTTGGCTCTTTCTGTGGATCTGTGATCCGCTGTGTCCGAGGGACACAGCGCACCGCCGATCGCCGCGCTGTGTGCTTCGGGAGCCGAACGAGGAGAACGAGAGAACCACCCAGAACGAGAGAACCACCTTGCATCCATCATATTTACTATATGATGGATGGGAGGTGGCTAAAATGACATTAAAAATGCATATATTACCATAACACCATCTCTCGACCAGCTTCTGGGAACGCTAATACCAATATCACCTCAGTTAAGTTGGCTGCTCCATTACTTCCAGTCAACATGTAACGTCCGCCATCATGTCCCTTGACGCATTTCATCACTTCCGGACTTCCTCATAAGGCTTATGATATCAGTATTAGCGTTCCCAGAAGCTGCTCGAGAGATGGTGGTATATATACTGGAATTTTTTTTCAGTACTAGTAATGATAGCGATCAGCGACTTATAGAGGGACTGCGGGACTGCAGCAGGCATTCTGACACTGAGGGAGAACTGACTAACTGCCACTGACATCCCCAGTGATGCTAATGCAGCAATCAGTTGCTAATAAAAAGCACTGACACTGTACTAATGATACTGGGAAGGAAGGGGTTAACATCTGGGGCGATCAAAGGGTTAACTGTGTGCTGTTTTACTAAGTGTGCTGTGCGTGTTTTACTATGCAAGCATGCTGCTTTGTATTGCTCTCCTATGCTAAGCAATACAAAGCAGCATGATGGTGCTGACAGGGGAGAGATCTGAATTGTTTATATACAGACCTCTCCCCTGTCAGTGTTTCCTCGGCAATTACCTGATGATTGACAGCTGCCACGGTGGCGTGGGTAGAGCGGCATGTGCACGCATGCGCCCCCTACCCGCAAATGCAGAATCATGTATACAGTGAGGAACAGAAGTATTTGAACACCTGCGATTTTGTAAGTTCTCCCACTTAGAAATCATGGAGGGGTCTGAAATTCACATTGTAGGTGCATTCCCACTCTGAGAGACAGAATTAAAAACAAAAAATTCAGGAAATCACATTGTATGATTTTTAAAGAATTTATTTGTCTTGCACTGCTGAACAGAAGTATTTGAACACCTGAGAAAATCAGTGTTAATATTTGGTACAGAAGCCTTTGTTTGCAATTACAGAGGTCAAACGTTTCCTGTAGTTCTTGACCAGGTTTGCACACACTGCAACAGGGATTTTGGCCCACTCCTCCACACAGATCTCCTCTAGATCTGTCAGGTTTCGGGGCTGTCGCTGAGCAACACGGAGTTTCAGCTCCCTCCAAAGATGTTCTATTGGATTTAGGACTGGAGACTGGCTAGGCCACTCCAGAACCTTGATATGCTTCGGGTCGTTGTCATGTTGGAAGACCCAGCCACGACCCATCTTCAATGCTCTGACTGAAGGAAGGAGATTGTTGCTCAAAATCTCACAATAAATGGCCCCATTCATCCTCTCCTTAATACAGTGCAGTCGTCCTGTCCCCTTCAGAGAAAAGCACCCCCAAAGCATGATGTTACCACCCCCATGCTTCACAGTAGGGATGGTGTTCTTGGGATGCAACTCATCCTTTTTCCTCCAAACACGACAAGTGAAGTTTAGACCAAAAAGTTCTACTTTGGTCTCATCTGACCACATGACTTTCTCCCATGCCTCCTCTGGATCATCCAGATGGTCAATGGCAAAACTTCAGATGGGCCTGGACATGTGATGACCTGAGCAGGGGAACCTTCCGTGCAATGCATGATTTGAAACCATGATGGCATAGTGTTCTACCGACAGTGACCTTTGAAACTGTGGTCCAAGCTCTCTTAATGTCATTGACCAGCTCCTCCCTTGTATTTCGGGGCTGATTTCTCA